AAATAGTAAGTGTACTGTAGTGAGTGCAAAAATTTGAAAATCCTCAATTTTACTTCTCTAACTGGGGCACATGCAAGACCAAAACAATGGTGTTTTTGTGTGTGTGTGTGTGAAATACACTAAACGCGTTCTGATATGTTTATACTAATGTTTGTAATATGCCATGTATGTATTTGTAATGCATCAATAAATGGCATTCCAGGTATTCTGAGTAAGGCCATAAAATGAAAAGGCTGGTAAAACCAATGTGCTTAGTATGGATGGATGCATGATTGAGATGGTCATGCAGAACAATTTGAAACTTATTTTACAATAATGGTGACCACAAGACTGTCACAGAATACAATATCAATGTTTATTGCATGCCATGAGACTCGCTATTGTATTAAAAGTTGCCACTTGGGGCGCTGTTGTAAATGATGGCTTGTATTGGCAGTGGATTTGTACTACCATTTAAGGCATAATTTACTTCATGCCATTATCAGTTGTCATTACGAATGCCAGGAGAATATGTGCATTTACTGTGTTTTGGCATGTATTTAGTGATATATTAACTAGAATATGTCATCGTATATGGATGACATTAGCAGTATGCCAATTCGATTACAGAATCTTTTGAATAATTTATAATGCGGTGAAGTTGAGACTGAAAGTAAATATTTCTAAAACGAAGGTTATTGTCCGCCCTTGCTATTTGTTCATGCAAAGTTCCCACCTTTCAAACAGGAGTCTGTCTTGCCTTGCATTTTCCTACTGCATTCATGATTTTTCAATCAAGTTTTTGTAAGATTCCTAAAGCAAGTTTCAGACTGCTTAACAGTTTGTCATATTTTCACCCTTCAAAGCAACTCTATAAACTTTGCAGTTGGGTTTTTTAGACAACTTTTCAAATAACTCTTTTAAGTGAAGCGCCAAACAACTTTCATGACTTTTCATGTTTTTTTTGTCTTTAAAGGCCACTATTTGAAGGGAACTACTAAGGCAAATTTCTGACTGTCTTAGTTACATTTTAGGCATTTTTGCTGTCCTTCATGGTGATTTTACAAACTTCCATGTTTCTGCTTTTAATTTTAGATGACTCTCTGAACTTTCCAGATGACTTTCATGACATTTCAAGCAACTTTCTGAAATTTTAGATTTTTTTATCAAATTTATTATTTTCAGACAAATTTCATGCCTTCCCAAGCGACCCTCTGAACTTTGCAGTCGTCTTACATTTGTGATGGCGAAACATGACATTTTTGGGCAACACTTCTGCCTTCTAATGTAACATTTCTAACTTTGCGAGAGTTCCAGGGTGATTTTCCAGACTGCCTCATCCACAGGTTCTTGAGCTCGACATGTTTCAACTGCTATGTCAAACAAGTCTTGAAATGAGATTAGACTTGAAACCTGGCTTGTTTATTTTTCCATAAAAACGAAATCTCATAATTAATCAATGAGACTGATGGTGGCGTAGTAGATAATCTATGGGAAAGGTGAGACAAAGCAGACCTTCAAACACACATTGAGTCGCAGCAGCAGTGTCGATTAGACAAAGACTGACCAAAAGTGAGAATTCTTTAGCTGGCAATGAAACACGCACAGGACTGGGCATAGCATCAAGACGACAGCCTTAATTGCACCCTTGGTAGTAACAAGTTTGTTACTTTCGGGCAACATTTCACTACTTCTAGTTACAGGAATAGCTTTATCGGCCTCAGACAGGTCCCCCGAAAGTACTGATTCAAAAGCTTTGACAAGAAGTGATGAAACATAGCAAAATGAAAGCGTTCTTTAATATGTCAACATAGAGCAGAGTTATCCATAGCAACCGGGGTAGAATAGTAAACAATGTCTCATAGGGCTTTTTTTTATCTGCCCAATATCATTCTAAGCATAAATAACGACAAATGAAACAGTAGGTGCAGTACCAGGCACAGTGGTGCAGGACACTACATTTGTGTTACCGTAGTACAGGAAGCATCCTTCATATTATTGCAGCCTTTCCATGCATGCACAGACTACATCTCAGATTCAAGGCAGCTAGAATCGAAGTTTCAAATGGTGATGGAATCTCTTATGTGGTGATCGTTGGATGAAACTATCTCGTGACATTTAAGGTTACGAGCAATAAGCAGGTGGTCTTCATCAGCTGACAATTTACATGTACCTTTCAAGCAGCATTCAGCAATTTATCCAAGCATTCGGCAGGATAAATGTTGGCATTGTGCAAATCATCGAAACATGGTGTTATCTTGAAGTTTGATATTCATCTGACACTAGCAAAGAGAGAACTGAAGAACTACATTGGCGGTATCCACAAGTCACTTCCCCTCAGCCAGTAGGATTTATGGCCTACAACTTGACCCTCCTAAAATTATTTACCCTAAGAATTTAATTCATTATATACATGATGTTCTTTATATAAAGCAATGTGAAATTATGTGTAAAAATACAAGGCCTTAAAAAAATATTTTACTTTTGCATTTTTATTCATATATTTTTCTGAATATATAATGTTTACTTTTCTTAAGTACAAATAATATTTTCCAAGCAGTAATACTTTCGAAATAAATCTACATTAAGACTTTAAATATTTCAAAATCTTAAAATTCACATCCCCCACTGACACACAGAGTAAAATTCTGAATATATAACACAATGTTGTACAACTGATAACATCAAATTGTGTATTACAGTAAATTAATGCAATTGGCATTTTTCAGCTAATATAGCATCATTACATGCCTTAAACATCCAGAAAATAGTCTTTAAAAAGGGTTTAGACAGTGTAGATTATGGAATTAATTATTCACTACCACTTTACAAACGTTTTTTGGGTACTCTGCCAACCCTTCAATAAGATCAATTAGCCCATGACAGAATACAATGCATTTTTTGCTCTTGAACGCTGGCTGCTTCAGAACAAAGTGTTTATTATATCTTATATATATATTAATATAAAGTCCAAAATTTTGAATAAATACAGCCATATCTAGTGATACATTGGCACAATTTACATAAAGTTTTTGATTTAAGATACTCAGTTAAATCACTGCAAGTGAAGCTTTGTTGCGTTTCCATCCCCCTCCCCCGAATGGGCTATCTTAAGCTGGAACATTAGATGTACCTACAATTTGTATGTACACACATTCAGGACATTGATATCTTTAAATGTTAATAAATATAACAATATTTACTATTACCATACAACACGTAGGCCAGCAAGATTAGGCAAGACTTGTATACATATTATGAACTGACAAGTCTATATCTTATACTATAAATACTATACTATTGTATGATGTTTTTGCTGTATATTAACAGTAAATGAAGAATTATTCTAAATGCTTCAAGGCCCTGAATCTGTATAATATTGTAACAGATAAATATGTTGAAGCTAGGAACTGTGGAGTAAAAACTGAAAACATCAAGAAAGTGTAAAGTCATTTTTACAAATTATATCTCTGTTATTAAGTATGACGACAACATTTCTAAGATGGTGGACATGATTCAAATTGAAATACCTACCGAAATGGTATTTTTCACCACTTTGCATATCCCTAAACTTCTCATACCAGTTGGTCAGACCAAGAAAGCATAAAACGATACAGTTATTAAGAGCATACCACAAAATATGCCCTCACAATATGCAGTAATATTAACCACTGCTATGCATTCCTTCATGTGGCATACTTTGTGACATCTTCTTAATAACCTCACATTACTATTTTACTATTACTGTAATTTTCGCTATTTTCACTAAAGGAATGATTCATTGAAAATAAAATCCAGCAAATGTACTTTTTTTCCTATATTTTACATTCACCTTGTTAATAATCAGTGAAAATAAAATCCACACAAAACACCCAAAAAGTCTTTTCAGCGAAAATTAATTCCAGCTAAAATAAAGTTTTTCACAGTAGTTTGTTAGATATCTACTATGATTGGTGGGACATCAGTGCTGTTGATTACCAACATACTGCTTTGTCCATCAAACTCAGTACTGTCATATCCGAGAATATCATGATCTTTTGGTGAAGAAATATAGGCATTTGGTATCTGGTGCACCTCATCATCTGCTTCTTCTGTTTGGGCTTTATAAGAGAAGAAAATAGTAGAAGCTGGAGCTCTGAAATAGAATTAGACAATTTTTGAACTTTACCATACATAAAACATTGCAGAATCAAGAAGCAGGAATTACAAGCTGAATTCTAAATTCTGTTAAAACATATTACCGGTACACTCATGCAAATACATATTTTGGCAATGTGAATGACAGTGTCACTGTTCAATAGTTATGAAGAAATTATCTATTTCTATTGTCCTTCACAGTAAATATAACACAAAGATAGGCAAGTCACACCAGAAATTGAATTCATTTTCTCAAATAGAAATGTTGTGGACCGTGCAGATGAACAAAATGTACTGTCTATACAGTATATTTTTGAAGGCTTACTATACAAATTCAAATGTTGAAACACAAAACTAAGGTACATATTGGCTCACCTGAGAAATTCCATTAGGAATGTACAATAGACCAACGGTGCAAAACAAGTGAAATACAGATATGTTGTTACATCAACAAGGCTGTAGGTAAAATAAAAATGCAGATATTAAGCCAAAAAATAGGCCTTCTCGTTATTATGCAGTAATTTGTCTATATACATGGAGAAAATTTTCATCATGAATTACAACTTTGGCTGGAACTACATCAAGTGGAAACCATGACTGTACTAAATCAAATTTTCAAAATTGGCCTTAATCATGTTTTATGCTGGGAAAATAATGATATGATAGACATTATGATATTCAGCAATTAACAAATCTACTAAATGAAACCAAATAATCCACTACTGTCTGCAAGCAAACATTGCAACAAATTTGCTGTGTCAGGTATAATGGGGCGAGTACATCGTTCTTCAGCAAACTCATGTTATTATTTCCATGAAAAATCAAGTTGCATACATGGTATATCATGCAATGGATATTGCTCAACTACATGTACTTGACTTGTACAACACTTCAATTTCCAACAAGAGTATTTTTACAGTCACTCTGCTGGGCTGTTGCCAACACTGTACAAGAGTTACTTACCAGAGACCAGCCTGTACATCTTTATACAATAAAATACTTCCAACAGCTTGAAGTAAGTTCAATAAAGCCAAGATCAACACGTATACATAAAAAGAAGTCTTTGCTGCAAGAAAACAGTGACATTATCATAAAATATTTTCCCCAGAAAAAAAAACTGTCAACTGTCTGTAGCACAACACAAGTCTTGCATACATAAAACAGCTACATGTTTACAATAGGCACCAGTACGTAAATCAAATAATTGTCTCATTCCTATCGCTGTCCTTATGCTCTGACTAGTTTCACTGAAATTCTTATCTTCAGACTGTCCTGCGTTGTTTGGAGTGTTATATACTTACAAGGTAGTTGAATCTTTTCCTTCAGCTTTGTAAATGGTAATAGAAAAACACATGTATATACCTGCATTGAAACAAAAAAATAGGATTTCAGTTTTAGAATAACCTGTCAATTTGACTGTATATAATGAATACATGTATGCTAACTTTTTAAGGCTTAATTGAAAATATAGTACTGTAAAGAGGGGTTAATTGTTCACTAGGTTTTAATTTTGCTTATGTCGCTGACTGGAAAATGCGCTAAATTAAAACCCAATGAATATGTAAAATTTAGCATAGAACACATTATCTAAATGAATATGCCTAAAATGGTAAATCAGCAAAATTTAAACCCAGTGAAAATTAGTTATTTTATAGTATAACCATTGCTCATATTTGAAAATTGCATGATATGATTGATTGCGGTACATATCAGACAAATCAGGACTATTCTATTGAGTTCAATTGACCTTGTACCATATTGCAATCTTACATATCCAATAAATATCAGTATGCGCAATTGTATGATATGCGTTTGTATTTTATCAAACTAACATAAAGCACTACAAATAAAAAATGTATCAGCTATTTTAAGTGAACAGTTTACTATGTAATCTATGTGCCCAAGGAGCAATATAAAATAAGCCAAAACAAGTGGGAGTTCCTCCATGAAGGTATATCATAATAACAAACTTTACATAGTACCATACTGAATTGTCTCATCGCAAGATAGATAATGAGTTCATAATTGTTAATATGTATATATAAAACAGGAGATGTGTCATTTCAGACTTTTAAATTTAATTGATAAGTTGCCGAAAACTCAAAACTTGTGCATGGTTGTAGTAACATTCTTGACGCAATAACAGTATTGAAAGTCAAAATGTGTGCATTGTGTAAATTAGTAGAATAATGCAAGTGTCATGCAAATGAAAGTAAATTTTTACCATCTAAGTGGTTGAACACAGAATTACATTTGAAACTCAACATGGCAGACGTAACTCACTCAGCCAATCACAGAAACTATGAATTTGACATCAGCAATCAACCTTATTTTTTTAAGTACGGTACAATAAAACATTAATTTTCATTTGAATAAACATTTATTGATATTTCCAAAAACAAAATTCATGGGTAATCTGAAATGTATGTAGAGAATACTGTATAACACTTTGGCTCAATGGAGTCAATGCAACAATCTTGTTGCATATTATAATTTCATTAAAATTGTGCTAAAATAACAAGCTAGCTGAAAAGATATTTTTTTACAGCATACATCACAGTAACAAACAAAAGCACAGAAATAGAATAGATTAATTTCAAATTAATATCTCACCAAAAAGAAGAAAGTAGAACTGACAAACCAGAACAACATCCCGCCATGAGCATAGACACCAAAGTTTTTGTTTGCAGCCTGTAGTCTATGATCTGGATAAACCAATTCTAAAACGCCCTGCAACAAAAAAACCATTGGTTAAAAGCATTTGAGACACAAATGCTCAAATTTGGGAAATTTTTTTTTTTTTTTTCAGAAAACCAAGACCAATACATGCAAAATATCAAGTTTATCAGTTACAGCACTCATAAATCAAAGAAAGCTTTATATAGAAAGAACTCCCGTGTGCTGAGAGTATTGGAGACGCATTAAAATTAATTCAAAATTTGCTTTTCAAACGAGAAGCTTGGCAACTCATTTTTGTCTGCTATTTGAGATGCATAACATGAAAAAAATGTGATTCACATTATCAAAATTTATAATATATACAGAAAATACATTTGATTTTTCATCCATGGTTTTTAGTCTAATTTATTCCAGAGCACCTCTGCAATGAATTCAATTTAAATCTGATTTTTTTAGATGGGCTAATAATAGATAATCAATATGCATGTTTATCAACATTAAACTAATCATGTCTGTGGATTACCTCAATGAACCAAATAAATTATTATACAAATTAAGCAATTATTATGCATAGATTTAGGTCTGTATATTGTTTCAGGGTGCACATGTACATTTTAGTTTCATTATAATGTGATGATTAATGCTAACTAAATTAGTGGAAAGCTGAAAAGTAAATTATTATGCAAATTAGGTAATTATTATAGATGTATATAAACCTAAAACTAATTAGATCATCACATTGTGTTAGAGTACATATGTACCAAGATTCATTGTTAAGATAAATACTGTCACAGACCATCTATGTACGAAGTTTCATTGAAATGTGATTATAACCAAAAATTATGATTTATTATGCAAATTAGGTAATTAATATGATCTGATTATAATTCAAAACTGAGCTGTGCGTTGTTCTGGAGCATCAATGTACCAAGTTTCATTGAAATGGAATAATTAGTACATGTGATATCAGTGTAAAAGCTGAAAATTGGCTAATTATGCAAATTAGGTAATTAATATGCTTTACCCAAAACTAATCACATCTGTACATTAGTCCAGAGCATCTATGTGCCAAGTTTCATCATAGTCTAATGAATGGCTTTTTCGATATCGGTGGCTCTTTCGATATCGGTGGAACAGTCAAGGAACAGCTAAAAATTAGCTAATTATCATACAAATCAGGTAATTAATATGCATAGATTTCAACCAAAACCTAATCAAATCTGCGCATTAGCCCAGAGCATCTATACAAGTTTCATTAAAAACCAACATACAGTTCTTGAGATATCAGTGGAACAGACGGACACACACACATACACATACAGACAGGGTAACTGCAAAGACTCCCATTGTGTGAGTAAAAAAACAAACACTCGATATTGTGGAAATTTTTAATGAAAACCCAAGTAACTGCCAACCATGCGTCTGATATAGAATACAATAGAATTCTTTATTAATACCGTAAAGATAATGTGAAATTTATTTTTTGGTTAACCAATTAATAAAGTTTTTATATAGTTGAGCGGTCATAAAATTATTTGTGAATAGTTAATGTAGGACAATTTACAATATGTAAGAATATAGCATATGTAGTTTATTTATACTGGTAATATACATATTTTTTATTTTTGGCCATATATGCCACAAGAAAAATATATAGTTGATCGGTTAAAGCAATTCTGAGAAACAAATGAAAATCCAAGATGGCGGCAAAATCATGTGACAGATCTAAATTATTTATATGCTGTCTGAAAGTTTATTATAAAGATGCAAGACTGTAAATTTTGAATAATTAGATAAATGTGGCATCAGTAAAAATCAAAGA